AATCCCGAAATCCGAAATATTCCGAGTTCGAGGTTCCTTGCTACTGAATGGTGCTTTCGCTGTGCCTAAGAAGGGTACACCTGCTGAGGGCGAGTCGCGGGTTACACGACTTATCATGAATATGATTCCAAGCAATGCGTTGCAGCGACTTATGGCAGGCGATTTAGCAACATTGTCCAGTGCATCGGCATGGGCGGGAGCCCACCTACACCCGAGTCAGGTGTTGCTCTGGTCGGGCGAGGATCAACGAGGAGCTTACTATACGCGTGGGCCCTACCGCCCGTTTGGCGAAAGTTTATGACTTTTCGATGGCCGGTGCCTGGAGCTTTGGTGGGTTTGCCAAATGAACAAGAGGTGTACGTGGCTGCCGCGGTGATACCAATGGGTTGGGTTAATGCTGTAGGGCTCTTCCAACATCTTCATAGGCGACTGGGCCTCAGTAGCCCGCCCGGTGGTGCAGGCCACGACGAGGGGGCAGAATGGAGAAGAGATCGCCCAATCCCAAGTTCGGCTGGAATTAAGGATGGAGGCTGGGTTCAGTTCTATCTCGATGATTTTGATTGCCCGGAGTTTGTTGACAGAAAGATTTGGAAGCGATTGCAAGGCACATGTTCGAACGCACATCGAAACCAGAGGCAGGCCTACAGTCATGTTGGTGTTGAGGTCTCTGAGGAAAAATCACACACACGGGAGCCCAGGGTCATTCGTATGGGGGCCGAGGTTGATGGTATTGCGGGTTACATTGGACCGCCAGCGGAAAAGATCTTGGAGACGGGATGGCTGTGTGTATGGCTGTTAAGTCAAGTCTGTGTCGGGGTTAAACCACTACTGATGGCACTGGGCCGGCTGGTGAGGTGTTTTGAGTTCAGACGTCCACTTCTATCGATTTTGGACGGATGTTGGCCTCGTGATCAATTCCGGTTCCGGCGCTATTTGAATCAAAGGAGTTGCTTCGGGCTCTGTGCGCTCTCCCTCTTGCTGTCGGTTCGCTCCGCACTCCTTTTTCGGGTTTGGTTACATGCTCGGATACATCAACACAAGGTGGTGGATTGTGTGCTTCAGCTGGGCTTTCCAATGAAGGCCGGCGGATGCTTGAGCAAATGAACTGTGGAAACGTGCATCAGTTTCAGCTGGCGGGAGCTATGGATGTTCAGCATAGTGTGGGACCCCGCGTGTTGGCGATTTCTATCTTCAATGACATAGGCTCGTTGATGGTGGCGTTGACTCGATTGCCATGTCAGGTGGTAGGCTATGCAAGCTGTGAAACAAACCGTGAAAAGAAGCGGGTTATACGCAGGCGTTGGCCTGGGGTCATCGAATTGGGTGATATTGCCAACGTGGATGAAAAGTTGGTTGATCATCTTCAGCGCTCGTTTGGCAATCATCTGGACCTCGTTTTGGTGGGAGCAAGTTGCCCTTACCAACGAGGTTCTCAAGGGGCGGACTCACGCGAAGCAAAGCTTTTTTCTGAGCTGATGCGGGTTGTTGACCTTTTGAAGTCGGGGTTCACTGTCCCGGTTCACTTCTTCATTGAGAATCTTGCGTGTCTCCAGGACTCGGATTTCGAGTGGTTCAACTCCACGTTGCAGGTGAAGCCCATCCTCATTGATGCAAAGTGGTTCACTTGGTGTCATCGTCCTCGTTGCTTTTGGTGTTCGTGGATGCCCGATCTGCAAAAAGGGGAGAACATGAAACGTTTCAAATTCTATGATGAATGGATTTTCCCCTTATGTCGGAGCCAGGTGGAGGCTTGGCTTGAACCCGACGGAAAATGGACTGGAACGATGGACGGTTGGCTACCTTGTCTTACACAACCGAAAGCTCGCTCAAAACCTCCTGTTGAACCTCTATATCTTGCTGAGGCCTCACCTTCCGCGGTGGATCGCTGGAAGGCGGATGCTTACAGGGTGCCGGTGGAAAATTACGAGGCGCATAACATGGTTACGAATTCCGATGGAGCCTTAAGACTGCCGTCTTTGTGCGAACGAGAGGTTTTGATGGGCTTTGACAAGGGATATATTGAGGGGACGCTGCCGCATAAGATGACAAAACAGGCGAAATTCATGCTGGGCGGGCAGATGCTAGGAAGGACCCAGTGCGTACATGTGCTCGTGATGCTGTGTCACTCATTGTTACTCATTGTTGCCTGCTTTCGGTATTACCAACCAGCGTGATCATGTCGACCTTGTTCGAAAAATTTCGATTGCGCCACCCTCATGGCTACTACACCCTCGGTTTGTGGAAGGTTGTGCAAACACTGCGGAGGCCCAACAACTTGTGCAACATTTTTGCCGACAGGCAGAAAAGAGCGGGTCTGATGTTAGGCTGGATGTCGGTATACCCTATCGTGCGAAGGCTTGGCCTAGAGCCGGAATCAACTCTTCACTGTTTGATTGGTCAGTTGTCCATGGCTATGCTTGGAAGCACCCTGCACATATAAATGTTCTTGAATTGCAGGCGGTGCTTAATGGGCTCAAGTGGCGTTTAAGAAAGTCGGGGAATGGACGTTGCCGCATCTTGCACCTGATTGATAATCAAGTGGTGTGCTCCATCATTGCAAAAGGACGAAGCAGCAGCTCCCGATTAAAACGAGGTTTGAAAAAGCTAAACTCGCTGGTGTTGGCTAGTGGGATCGTTTTAGCTGTGGGCTACGTGGCCACCGACGCAAACCCATCGGATATACCATCAAGATGGGGCGGACGCTCACGACTACTCAAAAAGACCAAAGGCAGAAAAGTCGTAAAGGCAAGAGTCTGAAAGCCCAGATGGTATCGGAGCAAATTCAATCTCGTTACGCCAATGCAGTTCTTCATGTGTTGCTTTTTCTGGCGGATATGAACACTAGCCAGCTCTCCTGGGATAGCTTTGATGAGTCAGTTTCTATGCAGAAGGAGAGCACAAAACATTGGTGAACTTTGCTTTGGCTGGTCTACAGTTCTTTCTGCCAGCTTGCGTTGGCAAGCTAAAGCAATCGTGGCGGTTAGCAAAGGTTTGGCAACGTCTGGAACCTCCCGTTAGAGTTCTGCCAATTTCGCCGCTGTTGCTAGGAGCTTTTGCAGGCGCGGCTATCCGTATGGGTTTTCTGCCAGAAGGCGCTGCTTTGCTGATTGGGTTTGATTGCATGTTGCGCTCTGGAGAGCTTTACAACTTGTGTCGCAAAGATATCACGTTCTTACGTGACAAAGCTGTGCTTTGTTTGGGCAAAAGCAAGTCTGGCAAGCGCACTGGAGCAAACGAGCTTGTGGTCGTGGAGTCACAGTGCGCAGTGTTCTGGCTGCGTGAAGCTTGCCGTCACTTGCGAGCTTCGGACAAGCTACTTGGCCGCGGCGACAGGTTCTTCCGAAAGCTGTTCTACGAACTCATTGATGTCCTTAAGATTAGGGGCCTTCTCACAGTTTACAGCTTGCGCCGTGGTGGGGCCACTTGGAACTTCTTGCTTCATGGAAGCATGGAGAAAACGCTCCTGCGAGGACGCTGGTCCAGTACGTCGACTGCTCGCATTTATTTGCAAGATGCCGCGGCAACGGTGAGCCACTTACAGCTGAGTGACTGGCAAATGTCAATGGCCCGAGATATGGCAGCAGTTTTGCAAGCCAGCTCCGCGTCTGCTGAAGATCGTCCAGTATAGCTTGACGGCTAAAGCCAGGTGGGGCAAGTGAGGAGGAGAGCCCTCTGTTCTTTTATTGCTTCGGATCGATCCCAGTCGGGTGCAGTGGCAGACGGTGCAGGCCGTTGGGGTGTCTCTGCGAGATTCGGATTGATTAGCTGCGGCTGCAGCGGAAGCATTTAAGTACAGGCTCTGCTGAGTTCCTCCTCAGATCATTGTGCTAGAGTGCGCATGATCAAGAACCTACTGGCGTGGCTGGTGGCAAAACAGGAGTGTGCGCTCCCAACATGGAAATATGTGTAGAGACTTCTTTGAAAGATTGGCTCGTAGCGGGTTGTATGTTGTGAGCAGCGACTGAAAGCATCGCCGTTTCTTACTTGTAGCTTTTGTGGCCCACCCTTCCCGCCCGGTGGATTCAGTTCCGACTGGAAGCGGTTGAGGAGGAGAACCCTCTGTTCTTTTATTGCTTCGGATCGATCCCAGTCGGGTGCAGTGGCAGACGGTGCAGGCCGTTGGGGTGTCTCTGCGAGATTCGGATTGATTAGCTGCGGCTGCAGCGGAAGCATTTAAGTACAGGCTCTGCTGAGTTCCTCCTCAGATCATTGTGCTAGAGTGCGCATGATCAAGAACCTACTGGCGTGGCTGGTGGCAAAACAGGAGTGTGCGCTCCCAACATGGGTATAGCTGGTTCGGACGTGCTGAAGTGCCATGTCGTGCCACTGATGTGTGTCTCTTGTGCGCGCTTGTGAAATCGAGCGTCTACATGGGGAATGGCTGGTTTGGACGTGACGAAATGCCATGTTTGTGCCACTGATGTGTGTCTCTTGCACGCGCTTGCGAAATCGAGCGTCTACATGGGGACTGGTTGTTTTGTATGTGTTATGTGGACACTGATGTGACTGATGTGTGTCTCGCGGGCATGCTTGTGAAATCGAGCGTCTACTTCAGGAACGCCAGATGCCCTATATGTTCGGGACATGGATTTCGTGTGCATCCTCCCACATATTCCCAGGGCTGTCGCAGCATTTCCATCGAATCGCACAGTTTTCCTGCTGCGGCACGGCCATGTCAAATCGCGCGTCACAATGGGGATTTACAAATTTGCTGTGACTTTCTGGCGCGTGCTGTGACTTTCGCCGGTTCGCGCGTCACAATGGGGGAAGCCGGCCGTGCTGCGACTTTTGGCGGCGTGAGGCGACTTAGGGCGGGTACCAAGTAGTGTTTGTTCAGAGGTGCATAACAAATCCCCCTACATCCTGTAGAACCCTGATCCGGTTAAACTCCAAAGAAGCCAGGGCGTCATGTCGAAGCACATTCGTTCGACTCGCAACCCCGTTGCTGAGTCCCCTGACTTCCATTTACACGATGTTAGGCCCTAACCCTAAACCTTTAGGTACTTCACTCCGGACGATCTGATCCTGCAGTTCCGTGCGGAGCGGCGATCAGGCACCGGCTGGTTTGCGGTTTTGGGTTTAGGGTTTAAACTAGACCCTGCATGCCAAGCGCTGAACTCTAAACCGTCAGTCTTAACATTCAACCCGAAATCCGATATAGTTCACTTTAGAATTACAGAAAAAGCCCAATAGCTGGAAACCCAATAGCCTCAATCCTTCAGAGCTAGTGCGTAAGGAATCCCAGCATTAATTGTCCTTAATCCGGTTTCCAACTTTTTGGGGTTTAAAGTAGCCGAACCCGAGCAAGATTCTACTGTCGAAGCTCCCGGCACAGATTGGGCCCTGACCGATGAAGTGCTTCTGCTTCGAACACTGACTATCGGGTTGACATGTGTTGCTTGAGAAACCGAAATTTGGAGGGGTGGGGTGGGGTGGGGGGGGAGTTGAACGCTACAAACAGGAAGCCCCACCATGCAGGCGCACGCCACATACCTGATCCCAAGCTGCTGCCAAACTGTATTACACTTACGCGGAGGACCAGCGCAGATTGTAAATCCTCAAATTCTGACCCCCAGGCCTAGCCCCGAGCTAGACTCCAAACCCTAAAGTCCATTTAGTCACCAAGTGTTTCGAATCGTGACAGTCCCCATGACCGATTGCGTAAACCTGAAGCCCCAAAGCCAATCCCTAAACTCCGAATCTTAAACCTTAAAAACCCTTAAACCATAATCCCTAAACCCTATAAATCCTTAACCCCAAACCCTAAACCCTTAACCCCAATCCCAAACCCTAGAAACCCGTAACCCCACTATAAATCCTTCACTCCAAACCCTAAACCCTATAAACCCTTAACCCCAAACCCTAAACCCTCAACCCCAAACCCTGAACACCAAACCCTAAACTCCAAAACTCTAAACCCCAAGCCCTAAAGCCCATAGAGCCGCTTTGAAGCCCCCTTAAAGGATCATGGGACTTAGGGTTTAGGGTTTAGGGTTTAGGGTAGCTTATAATTAGGATAACCCCACTTAAGAGACTTATAGCCCCAGTTATAACCTGCTTACTAAGTCCTTTAAGCCCCCCCCCCCCCCGGGAGGATCCCCCGACTTCGGCGAGAATCGGAGGAGACTTGAGGTCGCCTTTAAGGAGGAAAGTAGAACTTTAAAAAGGGTTCTTCGAATTTAAGGGTCCCTTTAAGGGGATCTATAGGGGTTCTATCAGGGTATAGGAGAGCCCAATAGCTTTTTAGGGTTTTAGGGTTTTGGGGTTTTGGGTTTTAGGGTGTTAGGGTTTAGGGCTTTAGGGTGTTAGGGATTTAGGGTGTCAAGGTTTCAGGGTTCTGGGGTTTCAGGGTTTATGGGCTAGGGTTTTTAGGGTTTGAGGGTTTTAGGGTTTGAGGGTTTTGGGGTTTAGGGCTTTAGGTTTTCGAGAGTTCTGGGCCTAGGGCAACTAAGGGATATAGCTTAAATCATAATACGAAGCCCTTTATAATTTAAGCCAGACCCCTTAATTAAGGAATATAGCTTTAATCATAATATGGAGCCCTTTATAATTTAAGCCAGACCCCTTAATTAAGGAATATAGCTTTAATCATAATATGGAGCCCTTTATAATTTAAGCCGTATTCTTCAATTTAATTAAGGGATATTGGGCACCCTGGTCATGGCATGTCATGGCCATGGGGACGCTGTGAGTTGAAGGTTTGCTTGCAGAGTTATGGTTAAGGTTAGGCGTTCAGGAATTTGGGTTTCGAGGTAAGGTGCAGGGTTGAGGTTGCTTGGGTTTGGGGTGGTGGGACTTGAGGTTTGGTGTTCAGGATTTAGGGGTTTGGGGTTTGGGTTTCGAGGCCAGGCAGGGTGAGGTTTCATGGCTGTGGCGAGGATTTCATGGCGTACTCAGATGAATGCTTTAGCAGCCCAGGTCTCCATGTTTGGCCAGTTTAATTTGGCCACCCCATGCCACCCCGCTTCCCCAATCAATCGTTGAGGTTACGGCTTCGGATTCTGAGTCAGCACTGAAATTCCTCAAAGATTGAACTGGCAGGGGCGTCTTTCTTGGCTCCACTATGTATGTATCTTTGGCCCCTCAGACGATGCGGGAGCGAATAGGCTTAGTGGCAAGAGTCCGTGCGGTTTCGATGCATGTTAGTCTAGTTTAGGTTTTGTGGCATGTCAAGTCGAGGAAATATTCCAGCGCAGCGGCTTCGTCGTGAACCTGAACTCGCCACCTTAAAAAAACGAAGCTGTTGGGGGTACCACGGTAAGCGGTGGGCTCTGAGGCACGGCCGGTGCAACATTAGAAGTTCTAATAGTGGCATATGTATACACACATCGATATATATATATATATATATATATATATATATACATGCATACATATATGTATATTGTATATGTATATATATATATACGCATTATTTGTTTGATTTACTATTCTTCACGTATATGGTAGTGCTTTAGGGAGATTTGTTGCTGAAGCTCCCGCTGATTTTTTCGGATATTGCTGCGAGGCAATTCGACTGGCTCTTGGCTGGGACATCGTGCCGGTCCTTGGGCAATTGATTCCTGAGTTGCTTGAGGGTTTCGGACCCTTACTAAGCCCCAACCCCTAAACCCTGAACTCCCGAAGCAAAGCTAGTAGGGGCTGTGTCATCGCGAGGCTTCCTGATTTCATCCGAAGATTCCCAAATACCGGGGTATGAACAGCCACCCGCCAATCGAATCAGAATTCTGGACAAGACTGACAAGACCTATGCACCACACTGGCCATGTTTATGAGAGCTCTGCAACACCACCGAAACATGAAGTGACACGCTATGACTCGTGCGATGGTTTGTTGAAGTGTTACGACCAACACAGGGTTCAGATCTGCTTTGCTTCCCTGCACAGTTGTCGATGGTTTCAACAGAAGCTTTGGAAGATTCCTGGAGCCCCCTCACCAAGCTTGGCCGCAAAGATGAAAACCTGACTACTTTAGCAGAGTTCCGCCTCCACAGCCCCATCTGCAATACCCCTCTTCACCCAAGCTTGCCCTACTTAAGCTACTGTTAAAAACGCATAGAGACGAGTTTAGGGTTCGCATCTTAAAGGGATGAAACGACTCCTAGAAGCACCTGGAGTCCCACAACTAGTGCGTAGATGCCCCAACCCATATCTTAAAGCGCGGAAATCCCCTAACTCTAAACCCCCAACCTTAAACTCTAAACCCACTGGGCCTTAAACCCCAAACCATTGGGCCTTAAACCCTCAACCCTAAACCTCAAAACGAAAATCGCACACCAAATCCCTACTACGAATTTTGCAGCCAGCCAGGTCCTGCGTAATCGGCAGAGAGCCTTTTTCTTCGGAGAGCCTGGTGCCTGGAATTTCCGCTCGTAGAGGTCTTCAGTCAGTATGAGTGCCCTAAATATTGTTTATGGCTTTGAATGTATCCCAAACCCTAACCTCCTAAACCCCTAAACCCCTAAACCCTAATTCCCTAAACCCCTAACCCCTAAACTCCTAAACCCTAATCCCCTAAACCCTAAACCCCAAAACCCGTGAGCCCTGGGAGATTTCCAGCATGAAGACCACCAGGGTCACAGTCGCAGGACCTTCGGACTGTGAGGTGTAATTTCTGCAAGCTCGTACTTGGAGGTTCATTTGTAGTTATAAGTGTGGTTATAAGTCCCCTAATATGGGTTATAAGTATAGTTACCCTACTTATAACCCCACTTATAACTACCCATGAACCCCCAAGTAACCTGTAGAGTCTTTCGAGATGGCCGCTGGCACAACAAATCCAACAGACCCTGGGCAGGTCAGAACATCGCTTGAACCCAGCCATACCCATCACTGTAAGGCTCTGAGAGCTAGGACCCGAATCCGTACAGCTCCTATTGCTACTCAACTTGAACATCCTAAGCCTGGAATCCGCAAGCCTTGTCGCTGAACCTAAATCCCAATGCACCCCAAGCTCTACTTGGAGGGTCGGGGGACTTAGAAAGTAGGTAGTAAGTAGACTTATAAGTACCCTACAAGGGACCGTAATTGGGGTTATGGTACTTATAAGTCCCTAAAATAACCAGTTACTAAGTCCCATGATCCTCCAAGTAGACCCTAAAAAAACTAAACCCTATAGATCCCTTTAAGGAACCCTATAGATCCCTTTAAGGGGCCCCTTAAGAACCCTTACTAAGTTGAACTCCCCACCTTCGACTCAGATCAGTCTGCCGTCCACATAAACCCGCCTTGATCCACCTGAACCCCTCAAGGCCCGAATCCATCTAAACTGCTAAGGTAAAAGCTAGAAAGTTGGAATATGATTAGCCTAACCCTTCTATGGTAAATTATAGGGTATCCTACCATGAAACCATATTCCAACTTTCTGGAGTTCCCTTTAAGCGCCTCGCACCCAAGCCCAAGCTTTACACAACTTATAATTTATAATCTAAATGCGAAGTCCTCAAGACACCCTGGCCATCAACACTAAGCCACTAAGCCCTCTGACAAGTCCCAACTACAAACCGTAAACCCTTAAATCCCTGAGCCCAACCCTTGCGTGGAGATCCCTAGGTAAACCTTGAAACTTAAACCCTAAACCCCGAACCCTATCCCTAAACCTTAAAGCCTAAGCCCTAAATCCTAAAATGCTATAAACCCCTGAATCCCTACCTAATCCTTGAACCTCAAACTCGGAACCCCAAACCGTAAACCCTATAAACCCAAAACCCTAAGCCCTGAACCCTAACGCTATGAGCCCTAAATCCCAAACCTTAAGCCCTAAACCCTAAACCTTAACCCCAAGTAACCCTTGTTTAAGGACTTGTATAAAGAAATCATATTACTGAACCCTAAAAGGTAGGTTCCTTAGGGTCCAGGTAAACCTTGAAACCCTATAAACCGCAATTTGGGAAACTTGTTAATTTCCCTTATGGTTCCTGTAGAGGTACCTATTCATAAATACTTTTCAGAGCCCCAAAACTACAACCAAAAAAACCCTAAATCCTAAGTCCTAAACCCTAAACCCTAAAACCTTAATTCCTAAACCTTAAAACCCAAAAAGATCCTAAGCCCGGAGCTAATCCGAGGTCTCCTTTGGACCAGTTTGGGCCGGCTCTCTACGACGCCCTAAGTACCGGCAAGGAGGGGTTTAGGGTTTAGGGTTTGGGGGTTTAGGAATTAGGGTTTTAGGGTTTAGGGTTTAGGATTTAGGGTTTTTCGGGTTGGGGTTTCGGATTTAGGGTTTAGGGTTTTTAGGGTTTCAGGGTTCGGGGTTTAGGATGTAGGTTTGGGATTTACCGTAGGGTTTGGGGGGCTGAGGGAGGTCCCCAGCTCTGCTTACAATGAAAACCCTTGAAACCCTAAACCCCAAACCTTAAACCCGTAAGCCCAAGAATACTACATCCTGAACGCGACGTCGGGGTTCGGAGGGGTTTCAGAAGGTTTTGCACGCTCTTCAGAAGGTGATGTTTGTGCGAGTTTATGAGGTTGAAGGTTCATGGGTTCAGGATCTTGGGTCTGGGGTGTCGAAACCTTACATTACAAAGCTCAAAACCTACAACCTCTTCGACTTAAAAGATGCGCCGCAGGATCCGACTCCTTATGAAGAGCAGGTGCTGGAGGAGCAGGCTAATCAGCAGATAGCTCGGGGTTTCGGGGCCTTTGTGGCTTTTGTGCTTAGGGTTTGAGGATTCCGGGGCTCTGGGTCGTGGTTGAAAGTTTGGGGGCCTTACTTGGAGGTTCATGGGTAGATATAAGTGGGGTTATAAGTCCCCTTATATGGGTTATAAGTATAGTTACCCTACTTATAACCCTACCTAAAACTACCCATGAACCTCCAAGTAGGCACTCCATGGTTCTGGATCTCGGATTCCTTGGTGCTTTTGCACTATGGCGGTTCCCATTGATGGTTTGTTCGCTAGAGGCTCCCGCTGAGTTCTGAGGCAATCTTGGTTCAGAGGTGAGTTTGGTTTATCTCAATTGCATAGTGTCCAACTTGGAAGTGTTTGCTGGTCGTTCTACACATTGAGCCTTGAAAACCTTCAGACTGTCCAGTAGCTTGCTGGATCCGGTAAGGCGATCCTCCCAATCCCTCCAGGATTGCGAGCCTTTAAAACGAGAGCTTCAACAACCTTTTGCATGATAACCTCCATCATGTGTGTCCTTTGTATTTGACGAGTTTGAGAAGCTGCGCCCTACCCCAGTCGTGGCCGTGGAGGATATGGCCGGACCCAAGACGGCCCTGAACATGCCTGCAGGCGTCGCGGTGGAGGCGCGCGACGTGCCGAACCACCCCGATCCCGAACTCAACGAGTTCCGGAATGAACCTGAGGCGCGCAAGATGAAGGTCTTGGCCCCAGCGGCCTTGAAGATGGCGGTGTTAGACCATATGGCCACGTCGGACGCATTGAAGACCAAGTTGGGGCCCAGGGCCAGGTTTGCCTCGCGGAGGACGACGGCGTTCGTCTACCTGACGAGGGCGTACATTGTGCTATTGTGCCTTTACAACAGCCTGCCCAACGGTGATGTCAAGTTCCGGCCCGTCGACCAGGCCGAGGACATCATCAAGAACTACGTCGCAGGCGGGAATGAGCCGGAATGGGCGGCTGTCCTTGCGAGCAAGAGCTTTCGCAGCAGTGTGTTGTTCGTGCTGCCTGCTCACGGCTTCTCAAGCCCCAGCATCCACCCTTCGGAAGAGCAACTGCGCAATGAAGCCACAGATCCCTCTGTGCATCTCTTCCCTGAGCCCCAAGACCTGTCCAGAACACAAGACCCGGACAACAAGTAGAAACAAACTTCAGCCCCAAATCCGCAAAACGACCCTCAAGCCATGAAATCCCTTGAACGAACCTCAAGCCATGAAATCCCAAAAAAAAGAACCTCAAGGCTTGAAGGATTAAAGCACCGGATAGAAGCTTCTTTAGAAAAAAAACCCTTGACCCTCGCCATGAAGCCCTGAGGGAACCCATTGGTCCCGATTGCCGTCTCCTCACTTTCATATAGGGCATATAAGAACCTTTAAGGGGTTCTATAAGGGGTTCCTTTAAAGGGATCTAAAAGGGCTACAATAGGGGCTATTATAAGGATTTGATATAGGGGGCCTAAATATTTACCTAATTTACCTATACTATATATATATATATATATATATATATATTTTTTTTTTTTTTTTTTTTTGGGGGGGGGGCGGTGCCTTATTATAATTATAAATAGTACAATGGGCTCCGAAACCGTATTCGAATTATCTGGGCACCTATATTAGCCCTCGGAGGCTCATGGGCAGTCATAAGTGGGGTTGTAAGTGCCCTAATATGGTTATAAGTTAAGTATAGCTACCCTACTTATTGCTTATTACCCTGCTTATAATTACCCATGAACCCTAAACCCTAATCCCTATAACCCTATAGATCCCTTTAAAGGAACAATAAAAACTACGACCCTGCAAATAACTAGCCATGAACCTCCAAGTAAGCCGACTGGAACCCTAAACCCTAAACCCTAACCCTAAACCCCTAAACCCTAAACAGGCCGAGAAGCTGAAAGGCTCAGGCCTGCCCCTTCCCAGCCTGCTGAACCTTCGGCGGGACGACCTCGGGGCCCGGAGCCCAAAAGGGTTCCTTTAAAGGGGTCTATGTAAGGGCTCTGCAAGGTTTATGTAACAGCTCCTTTTTGGGTTCCATAAGGGTGTCGGGAAGGTGAGGGAACTGAGGGTTTTAGGGATCGTAGTGCCGAAGGCTCTGAGGATGTAGGTTCAGGGCCGATAAGACATTGGCTTTTATGCGCTTTCTGACGAACTGGTGTTTCAGAGATTTGTAGGCTGTGTTTGGACCATAGCGTCTGGGTTTAGCTCCGCTGCTGATACGAAAGAGGATGAAGGCTGCGTTCCCTCAGCCAGATCCTGAGCGTCATGGACTTCGGCGATAGCTTTCAGGGTCTATCCGAGCACGAGGTGATTTCATGCTGCTGTTTTTGGTGGGTCCAAACCCCTGAACGTCGGGCTCTGGATGGAGGTTCTCGGGTTTCGGATTTGGGTATCCTGCCATCCCACGCAGGGAGACCTCCAACTTGTCTCCTGAAAGCTTAATTTGGAGGCCCATCGATCGCAAACCTCACGGTTTAGGGTTTAGGGTCCTGGTTAAGTCCCATCGCGACAAGGGAAGCCACATTCACTTACAAGCTAAACGGTTGCTGTATCATGCAGAAGACAACCTGATATAAACGTTACGTAAGCTGTCTGGAGTGGCTCTAGAAGGGCAAAATACTATAAGGGCCTAAATACTATTTGTTATAATTACAGTATAAGGGGCCCTAAATTCTATCAACGAAATATTGAGGCCCCTATATTATAGCACCCTGGTAGATCCCTTATAGCAACCCTTATAGACCCCCAATAAAGGAGCCTTAGACCAAATATTAAGGCCCTTATACTTGGAGGTTCAGGGGTAGTTATAAGTAGGTTTTTAAGTAGGGTAACTAGACTTATACCCCATATCAGGGGACTTATAACCCCACTTATAACTACCCATGAACCTTCAAGTAGTGCAGGCGGAGAACGCCGACGGCATCCTCGACAAGGCGACGCGCGACTACCTGCGGTCGAAGCGGGCCACCCCAGAGAGTTGGGAGTTTCCCAAAACACGGGACCCGAATATCGTACCCCAAATAGTAGGATCCTTACTATAATGACCCCGAGATGAGGTACCCCGAATTTTCGGAAACTCCCAGTTGTGCACTCGAGAGTTGAGGATATCGGTCTTTCAGTTGAGGCTTCAGCGTTTAGGTTTCAGGGTTTAGATTCCGGGACGTGGGACTTCGGGTGTAGATTCTCGACTTCTCTGTGCTCCCCCATGTTCTGGTAGCCTGTCACTTCGACCGACTTTCTGTAGCTATGTAGCAGTGCTTGTGGACGCATGGGGCTTGTCGCTGAATGTAACATATGGGTGGCTGTCAAAATTATGGTCCCTTTTGAGGTCCCTAATATAACACGGCACCTCTTGTTTAGGGTACCCAAAAGGGACTTTAATTCTGACAACTACCCATATGGGTACTCCACGGCTCCATGCAAGTGACATGGGTGGAGCGGATTCGATCGTATCCAGCCACTGTTTGGATGCGAGTTTATGCAGGGTTAAGTTGTCGGACGTTGGTGTGGCAGCTACATTGTGCACGGACCACATGCAGACGAGCACGGCCTTTGTGTCTTTGTTCTGTGGCGAGCTGTGGTAATTTAGACTGCTTGATTCGCTGAGCTGCAACATCCGAGTTGCCCATCGGAGTACGGTGACCTGCACGGAGCGACGGATGGTTGTTTCTTGGTTTTGTGTAACTGTTTTGTCATGACGGATGTTAGAATACCGATTGTAGTTTATGTTAGTTTGGAGGTTGACACCGACTAGTGAGAAGGATCGTCTCAATGCAGGCACTGGAATTTGTGTTCGTAGGGCGCAGATGAAAGATGAATCAATCCATCGTTGTGCTTGGACAGGCCTCATGTTCTGCTTTGCTGCCTGGCCAAGGTGTGACGCTCGTACCCAAACCTGCGAGTGATCTGGCATGCAGTAGCAAGGACATTCACGAATGTTTGAGCTAGTGCTAGAATTTCCGCATGTTTGCGACATACTGCAACCTGTCACCACCAACGTTAAACCTGTCCAGCCAATACAGACCACAAAAGCCTGCAAAGCCCGAACAGGGGTTCGAATCCCAGCGAGGAATTACCAGCCGACCTCGTTCAAGTGGCTACATCAACTAAGACTTAGTAGCTGAGAGGATACACTTTACACTTGTTGGGATAATACTACTCACTATAAGACTGAAAGTGTACACTTTTGGGAGGCTTATGAACTCAGCAACTAGGAAGTCTGTGGCCTGCCGGACTTAAGGGCTTGGTTCTACACTTGGAACGCTGAACGCCCAAAGAATCCCTCGCAGACTACACGACGCGACAATCACTCAAAGGGTGCGACTTCGTTGTTGGGGCTTCGGGGCAAAGGGCGTATGTCAAAATCTAAGCTGGGAATTGAGCTCGGGGCTTAATTACTAAATTCTAAATCCCTAGACCCTAAACCCTTACCCCTAAACCCTAAACCCAGAGGGTGTTGCAGCGCAAAACATGAGAACCGAGAGGGGGCTCATAGTATAGGGGCCTAAATACTTACCAGTCCTATTTTGGGGGTTCCCTATGATAATTATAGTGCAATAGATCCCGAAACCCTATTCGAACTATTCAGGGCCCCATATTATTTGCATGTGCGCTTCGGTCCTCACAGCAAGGGTAGCAACCTCAGCATCAAAATACCTGACAGCACACAGCCTAGTTCTCACACACCAAACCTGCATAAGACCTACCTGTATACAGCAGAGAACCCAACTCTGTGAGAGCCTCTAAGCAACTCTGCAGCCACACGGAGAGAAACGTGCCCAAACCCTAAAGCCGACCCCATCGGCCCCAAAGTAGTTCCTTTTGGAGGTTCAGATATAGAATCCTATAAGGTAATCCCAAAGAGGAACTACGATGGGGCCCATGGGAGTTAGGATTCATGGGGATAAAGACCCTCTCAATAAGGTCCCTTTTAAGAGAGCCACAAGTTGGGTTCAGAAGGGGTACCCTCTAAGGGGTCTCTCAACTAATACTACCTAGCCTATGGGTAAACCCTAAGAATTTAGGGCTTTGAGAATCGGGACGAAGAGCTCAAGGCTTGGATTCGGTGTCCGGGGGCTTGGGATCGAACCATTATGCGCACAAAACCTTCATACTGCTGATGGACAAAATCCTGCATGACCCTAACGACTCTACACCATGGGAACAATGGTATATTCCTTATAATGGGTAGTGCAGGATTTTGTCCATCAGCAGTATGGGTGGTTGTCAAAATCAAGGCCCTTTTTTGGGGTATCTTCAATAACAGGTGCCGTATTATGATAAGGACCCAAAAAGGCACCATAATTTTGACAACCCTATCCCTAAGCCGCAAACCGGACCCAAAACAAGGCTCCTATTTTGGAGGCCTGAATAAGTACACTATTTTGGGGGTTCCTTATTGTAATTATAGTATCATGGGCCCCCAAACCCTATTCAAATTGTTAAATCCTCTATATTATTCCCTACACCTTGCCGGAATTTCGAAGTCTAAGGAGCAAAAGAGACGTCGCTTGCAGTGTTGACTTCAGCCCTAAAGCACCTTTGCAAGTTGGGGGGTTTAGGCTTTTATTAGCTTTCGGGCTTAGGACTTGCTGTAGGGTTTTAGGGTTTAAGATTGGATTCCCTGTGGGGTTGTAGGGTTTAGGATGTATAAAGGGTTTTTTGGGGCTCCTGAGTTGGGGTTGAGTCTCTCTCTCTCTCTCTCTCCCGCTCCTTCTCCATATGCATGTCTGTATCTATGCCTATACCTACAGTTATGCCCTGTGTTCTACATTCTACATCTTACAGCTCTAGAAAGAAGAACTAGGGTTCCCATAGTTCAAGCTGAGGCGTATAGAATCAAAAGTTTCGATGGTGCCGTGCAGCATCTCGACTGGCTTGCAGCCTCAGTCATATCGTGGACTTGCAACACCGCAAACTAAGCACAATGCGTATAGCACGTAGTTGCCACTGAAACTGTGAATGAACCCTCGCTGGTGCCACCACCTGCCCATCTGTATGCTTTGGGAGTGCTTCTTCGAGCTCCGTACCAGAGAGCTGCCCAGCCAGACAAGTCTACCCGGTCTACCCATCTCTAGCATTGATTGGAACTGCCCATTTTGGTGCCTGCTGTGGGGGGCGAGCCATGATGCCGCAGCCCTGGGCGCGAGTTTAGGGGAAGCCGAAGAGCTGAAGCTGAGGTTCTGAATCCGTTAAGGTTTAGGGTTTTAGGGTTTAGGGTTTAAGGTTTAGGGTTTAGGGTTAGGGTTTAGGGTTTAGGGTTTAGGGTTTAGGGTTAGGGTTTAGGGTTTAGGGTTTAGGGGTTTAGGGTTTAGTCCAACTCGAAGCCGACAGAACACCGAGACCTGAGAGCCCAAATCGAAAGCCCCAGAGGATTCAACCCGAATCCCTCAACCCTCAACTCCGAACCTGGAGCTTCGAAGTACCCAGAGGCTCCATAGTAGTTCCTTTTTGGGACTACCTTCTAGGATTCTAAAAATGAACTCCCAAATTGAACTACTATGGAGCCTTAGGGTATAGATGCAACAACCCTCTAATGCAGCTCAGATTTTCGACGACATGAAAACGCGGGTCAAGAGATATGCCGAATTTCTACAAAGAAATCAACAGCCAGTGATCTGATCTTACGGGACCCGCTTTTCAACCTGTGGAACTATTCCTGAATTGATGTGGTGACTCCAGGGTAAGCCCAGTCCATAACAAGGGAACGTAGGAGGCCTCGTCGTAGCATTGTCGCCCTTAAAGCAACCTGTGGAGATTCTGGGATTTTGGGTTTAGGGTTTCCGTATATCCGGCTCAGGCTGGGGTCTCCCAGCAAAGAAGAGCACATCAGCATGAAGCACATGAAAAGGGGTTGTATGCAGACTGGTTTCGCATTGTTACAGGTCCCGAACCCTATGCACTTCAACCATGCAAATCGTAAAGTGGAACTCCCCTAGCACTTTATTCCGAATACCCACTCCCTCAACTCTAAAGCCCACA